TTGTGTGTGTCTGTTTGTGTTAATGTTGCTTACAGTATTTGTAATTTTCCCACATTGCTTAATTCTTTGTCCATTTGTCTGAATTTTATCATTTTGTGCTCAGAGATAAGTGGTAGACTTTGCAGACCTGATGTTTATCCACACTATACACATTTTTTCTGTCTACTGATTTTACTGTTGCTGAACTGAGTCCCACTTGAACATTAGATGGTTTTTAAGGCTTTGATTTAAGAATGTCAAACATAGCCATCGAAAAGTGACTTCAATTGTTTGACGTAAACATTTCTAAAAATCTGATACTTAAAAGAAAATTCAGAAATTGATGTCGTTAAACTGTATTTAGTCAACTACAAACTTAAATGGGTGTGAACTTCAAAGATTTAGTTTTTCCACTGTCAATCCTGTTTTCAACTATCATTTTAACATTTTATATTTTCAGTTTTATTCTTCTTTTATTTGAGTTTTTAAGTGTTTTCTTTTGGATCTTAGAGTGTTGATGAATAGTCATGGCTTATTCAGTACATCACAAGTTCCTAAAAGGTTACTTTTTTATTCAATCATTCTGTCCAGTTGTGCCTTTAACTAATTTTAATAAGCTAACTAATTTTGATGGAATATTTAATTATCACTTTGTGTTAGTGAATGTTGTATTTGTTTTACAGTGCATGTTGGGTAGATCTGAGCAGTCTTTAGAAAAAAAGGAACCTAAATTTATTGAATATGTTGTATTCCTACATTAACTGGTTTAAATGTTTCTACAGATTCAGTAATTTGAAAACTTAAAAGAAAAATATGAAATAACTCCCATGTTTCATTTGCTCTGAAGAAAACAAACAGAAAATGTTTCCATGTAAAAAAAATGTTTTTGTATTTTGTGAAGATATTTACTATGATATGCAAGAATAATTGTTTTTCGCTCTCTGTCTCTTTTCACTCCTTTATTCCTGATTCAACTTAGGTGTTGAGTTGAGTTTCAAGACTTGGTCTCCAGATGGCCTCCTGCTTTGTGCCTTCTCTCCAGGAGATCAGGAAGAGTTTCTGGCTATCCAGATAAAAAACGGACGCCCTTACTTTTTGTTTGATCCGCAGGTACTGTTATCTCATTTTTACATTGTAGTAATAATAATCAGTCAGAATAATGTGCCAAAACTTGGTAAAAGGTGTGTGAATGTGTGTGTGAATGGATGAATGATTGAAGTGTAAAGCGCTTTGGGGTCCATGTGGACTTGATAAGGTGCTATATAAGTTCAAGCCATTTATCATTTTAAAAACTTTTTCCCTTATTTTCTTACATGCTGTAAATGTCCNGACAGGGAGAGGGGAAAAACTTTGAAAGTGTGTCAACGTTTGAATTGGACAGCAATTAACTCATTCCCTGCAGTCACCACGCGTGAATACCAAATGCAAGCTAATTAAGCTTTCCACTCTTGCGCACACACACACACACGCATGTGCACACACTTACACATCCTTGCATACATACCCTTGTTTCCTTAATCCTTCCATACAGATACATGAAGAGGGGTTAAAGAGTCAATGACTTTGATGATGAAAGCAATGATAGGAGATGAGTCCACATACTTCCATGTGGCCACCAACTAATTAAACACTCATACACATATATTCTTTTGTTCCCAATCAGTATCACTATACAAAACTGTGTTATCCAAACATATTCATCAAAGTATAACAATGCAAAATATCTGTGTGCATGCTTTGAGTCATAAATTAATGATGAGTATTCATGCCGTTATTGGCATCTGACTGTACTACTAGATTTTGATGGGCTGTCTGTCAGTGTGTCTTTTCCAACAGGGTTGATTCCATTGTTTAGGTTAGTTTTGGGGCAATTAACAGTGTGAGTGGTGTCACGGCTTATTAGTGTTCCCCTAGATACATCTAGCTGGGCCCATTACTCCCCCCTATTAGCCTGTTGAGCTAGCCTAATGGGATTACCAGTGCAGGGGGTGTAATTTAGCATGACACAAGGAAGTGATATACTCATAAATATGTGCTCGTATACAGTGTGATCTTCCACACACGTGCCTAGGTTTCACACACACAAGACTTTATAATATGAGTTAATAAGAATAAGTAAAGCATTTTACTTCAAAATANGGTAATCAACCTTAGCCAACAAAAAGTAACCAGCTGTGGCAGAGTGGTTAGGGGAGTCATCCTGGAACCAGAAGCTCACCGATTCGATCCCCCATCCAGCTGTCTCAGTTGTTGTGTCCTTGGGCAAGATACTTCACCCCAATGCCTCTGCTGTGTGTCCCATCAGTGTATGAATGTGATTGACACTGATTAGTCTCCATAGTTGACCGGTTTCAAGTGCTACAACACTACTATACATACACATACTGTATGCACATACCATTCAGTCGGTGTCCGAATAGAAACCCAGGATGTAAACAGGATTTAAGTCATCTCAAGTAAACGTGACAAAACGTGCTCATTCATTTGGTGCTTACAATCAGTGGGGTGCTATCACTGAAGCAGCACTTTAGATCACTGTTTTGTTGTTTTGAGGATTAAAGAGATTGGCATTGGTAGACACACATCAGCCAAATGCTGTGCCACTCAGCAGATGACACCAACTTATCAGTGGGTTTTTGTTAAACTGAGTTGCATCTTTCATTCATCTATTTATTCCTAAGGCACATGATGTCTTTCGCTATGATTACTACATGCTGCCTGGCAAAAGAAAAGTGACCGCCAAGGTTTTCCTCAGCTGGTGCTTCTCGATAAAACCACCATCAATCTTTTGCTTATTGAACATACCCACTTGAGGAGCAGTTATGCTCTAAATGTCCGGCTCAAGGACACCTCAGCAGCAGTTTCTAGCAGATTTGAGTGTTTATTTCTACTGCCAGCGCTTCCCAGGCAAGTGATTCAAACAAGTGTGTTTGTATAAATGTGAGAGTTGAGGAACAAGAGGTTTAAAAAGGGCTTCTGATCTGCTGTCTTGTTGAGTAAAGCTGCAGTGGTTGTAAAGATGTCAGAGGCTGATATACTCCAGCATTCATGTATTTATTGATCTCATCATTAAATCTTCATCACTGTGTTGTCTGTATGTTTGTGTTTGTGTGCACAAATGCATTACTCTTTTTTTTACTTTACCTGGTTGCTAAAAGCTGATCGCAACAATGATGTCATACTAAATAGATAGTAAAATGCTCTTTAACAGCATTTTGATGGTTATATGTACATGTTTGTGTTCTTTCGAGAGTGTTTTGTGTGGCAGTGTGTCTCTGTGGGATCTGTATTTAACACATAAGCTTGCTCATTCAAGTCTGATTTTTATAAGTTGTTTGGAGTCAAATGTCATAAATTCCATTTGATTTCTTGAGGACACAAACACATTTTGTCATTGAGTGGCACAACAACACACAAATGTGTTTGTATTAAAGTTCTTGTCTGTACGGTAGGCTTATGTGCGCTTGTGTTTATGTTTGCAGGGTTCTGCGGTGGCGGTGGGTGTGCAGGGTGACGGAGGACGCCGCTACAATGATGGACAGTGGCATAGAATAACAGCAACCAGGCGAGGGGCCGTGGGAACAATCGTTATAAACAATCAATACAGCGGTAACTATTCTCATATTCATACTGACCAGTGTGTGTGTGTGTGTGTGTGTGTGGTGGAGGAGGAGAGGGTCTGCCTTCTATATTTGTGAAACTGAGTCCATTCTCCTCATCTTCTCATGAAGAATGAACACAGAAGCATGATTGTTGGTAGCATAGAGCTGACAGGACTGTGCATGTCTCGTGTGTTTCTGTTTTTTTTTTTTAAATTTATTTAAAGGACACCAGTTATGGGTCTTAGAAATTTTTATGTTGTCTGTGGGCTATCCAGATCATGTTCATTCAATTTAATGCACAAAATAATTCTCAGATAATAAAATTTCCCATTTCCTAGTTCTGCCTGCACTGACTTCTGTTCAGAAGAGCTGTTTATGTTAATGAGCTCTGTTGGTAACGCCCTCCAAAAATCTGTTGACATTAACTCCATCCTCCAAAGCCTGAGTTTACGTTAGCATGGCTAATAATAGCAGAAGCTCCGTAGTACAACCATATGAGACCCCATGAGACCCAGAGGCAGTCGGTCAAAGCTTCTTTTTTTTCTCCCCCTCCTCTGCTCTGCGCTCACTCTGCATGCTGTTACAGAGCAGGGAGCAGCAGCATCGGTCAAAACACCTCAGAAACTCAAACAAATAGGTTTTAACAAGGCTTTAATAAGCTAAACAATAGATATACTTGAGAAAATGTGTTCATAACGAATGAAAATAAAAAATTAAATTATGTCCATGCTGGTCTCAAACCCTGGTCTCCCACTCTCTGGTCCAACACTCTACCCATTGCCCTATTGGAGGCTTGTTGTGAAATGAGCTGCGCATTGCACAACAACAACCGCGAGAGCTTTTTATATTGAGGAGGTGGAGCCTCATCCGGGGGTTGCTAGGTAAGGGGCTGAACGCAGGTTCCGGTGGGTTGTCGTACGGCTTGTGNGTCGTTAATATACATTAAAAATACATTTACTTACAGTAAATATGCCCCTGGGTGCATTTTTTTGGTCCTAGGACTGTTTTTTTAAGAAGTACATACCCAAAGTTGAGTAAAAAAAAACTTTAAAAAGTGAATTTTGCATAATAGGTCCCCTTTAAAGATTCACATGGAGAAATTAATCTCATTAATCCATGAAAAAAACATGGAGATCACTTTGACAGGTTGTGTTTTGATAGTAGTGCAGTTAGTTTTTGTTCTAAGTCTTCATTAATCTCCTCACTCTTTTTCTTTTTCATTATGTCTCCATTTCACATTTTGCAACACAATCAATATTCTAACTTTACTAAAACCAGGAAGTGGATCAGCATCCAGTGGCAGAAGTATTATTGGTGAAAACATGGGGGTGTTCATTGGAGGGCTGTCTGAAGATTTTACACTTTTAAGAAAGGATTCAGGTTAGTCTGAGCCTCCTTTTTTTACCCCTTAAAATATATATATTTTTGGTCCGACTCAGGTTTGGCTTTGAAATGAGTTTGCTGAGTCAGGCTCCGGTACTGTAACTGTCAAGCATCTTAATGATAAGCCCTGAACGACAGCTCAATTGTTGAACGTTCTTTGAATAAAAGAAAGGCCACCACAGTTTTCAGTTTTCTCTGCCTCACCAGGAGATGCCCTGCTGGTGCGACAGGGCTTCTCTGGCTGCCTCCGAGACGTGAGTTTAAAGATGACTGACAGCCCCTCCGAGGAATGGCAGTACCTGGACTGGACAAAAGCCACAAAGTCGGTAGCAGTGTATGAAAGCTGGGAGGGATGTCCTCTTCAAACGATAGATGGAGCACATTTTCTGGGTCATGGTAGGATCAACTTTTCGGTCTAACCTACTGTTTTTAGGACAGCTTACAACAGCTGAAACTACAGAGCAGTAGATACACTGTGAGAAAGAAACAGTTTTATACAGAACCAAACACAGGAATGATGTCAAGATCGAAATTATACAAGTTAAAGTCATCCTTATTTTGCAAATACTTGGCAAAACTGATTATCAAAATAAAATACATTTCTCTAATTTTAGTGGTAATTTGCCTTTCTTGTGGATGAATATGATGAAAAGATGATTGGCATCTGACCTATGATCACTTGTATCAATATTAATATTAATATTTCATTAGTGTGTTTGAGTGTTACTCCAATAGCAACATTTGCTCATTTAATCTTTAGTGTTTAAGAGTATAACAAATGTTTTTCATGTTTTTGGTTAAAAGATTCTAAGATATTTAACGTGTGCTCTGCTTATTAAAATAACATGTTCACGTTAGTGATGTCCTTACTGTTCCTTACAGGATACTTGGAGTTGGCCACAGGTGTTTTTAATGGAGGGCAGGACTTTGACGTGTCTCTGGATTTCAGAACTGACCAGCTCAGTGCCCTTTTGCTGTTTACATACAACACAAAAAAGGAAGATTACATGCTTGTAAGCTCAGTGGCATGTTTAAAACAACAATATTGGTGAGACCACTTTGTGAAATCTTACTAGTGTGTATTTTTAGGTGGCGCTGGAAGCCGGTCTTTTGTCCTTTATTCTTGCTACTGATGGTCATGTGACTGAACTCAGCATGTGGGTGGGGCTCGGCTACTGCGATGGAGACTGGAAACAGCTGTCATTGGCAAAACGAGGCTCTCTCATCTCTGCTGCAGTGAACGACTGGGCTGAGGAAACAAGGGGAGTGGGAGGGGCAGTGAGGCTGACTGTTGATTCACCGTTATACCTGGGTGGCGTGCCAGCGAATCTCTTACATCCTGCTCTGGATGGCCAAAGTCACAAACATGGTGAGATATGTAGAACTTTGTAGTTTCTGATCTCTTGTAAATCTTATCTTTTTTTTACAACAGTCTTTGATGTTTGTGATTGTTTCAGCTTAAACTTTATCTCTTCTAACACACACGACCAGAATGAACCTTGAATTAATGCATTTAGTTAATTCACCTAAATGCTATGGAAAGCCGTTTCATGCAAAATACAATAAACAAATAAATAATGAAATAAATAAATAATGTAATAAATAAAATATTAATAAATATTCCATCAAATACATAAATGTCCCCATGAAATAAAACAAATTTAATATATTATAATACATTTTTTATGTTTATTTACTTATTTTTTTATTTTTTTATTTAATAAAACAAAAATTTACCTTGTTTGTTTGTTTTAGGTCAGAGCTTTTTTGGCCAAGCTGAATTGTTCAACATCTTTCCAAATGTATGGCGTTCAAGTTTCGTGCAGCTAGCCCCTTCCTGTCTCAAGTTATGGCTGAAATGGTCTGTTTTCAAGTAGAGATCTCTGCAGTGATTGCACATAAACAGACATCCAGTGAAAAAAATAAAACGCCATGAAATTGTAAAACAGCCTGAAATAGTAAAACGACATGAAATAAATAGGAAGTTCAAAATATAAGTCCCTGAAATATGTAAAGTAACTTTACAAAATAAAAGTGTCACAAAATAAAACTACAATATGTAATAAATAAGTAAATAAACAAGGTAACATTTTGTTTGATAAAATATAAATAAATAAAACACATAAATAATATAAAGACATGCTAAAGATGTATTATAATATATAAATTTTGTTTTATTTCTTGGGGACATTTATGTATTTGATGCATTATTTATTAATACTTTATTAATTAAATTATTTTATTGATTAAATTATTTATTTATTGTACTTTGAATGAAACAGCTCTCCATAAATTTCAAGGATGGCTTGAATTAAATATTTAAACAGTTAGTTGTATGATGGAACAAAGTGTGAAGCTGAGATTGTAGGATGGATAAGTTAAAAACTAATAAGTAATGTCAGTGACTATTCTCAGTTTCTTTTTTCCTGTTCTCCTTCACTCCTTGCCTCCTTCTCTTCTTTCCCACAGGCCTGGGGGGCTGCATACGGGGTCTTACCATTCGCAGTGATAAAAGAAGCTCTTCTGTCAGTGAAAAGGTTGATTTGGCTGTCACCGCCCGCCGTTCTGTTCGGGTCCACTTAGATGGCTGTCCTACCAGTGAAAGTCGATTCAACTGCAGAGGGAACGATTCAGTGCTGGTTTACAGTGGAAGGCAGACACTAGCCACAGATTATAGTTTACAGCCTTTTACAGGTAACTGTTAGGTTACTTTATACCTGTAGGTAATTTTTTTTTGCAGTGGTTCAAAGCAAACATATAAAATTAAAATATCAATTTAACCAGAACCATTCATTTATAATAGTGTTCAAGGCTCTACAAATCAAAGCAGGACACAAAAGAGGAGAGTGAGAAGAAAAAAAATGGATAAAATCTGTTGAAATAATAATGTAAATATATCCTAATAATGGATCATGGGTTACTAAATCAGAGTGTAGATGTCATTTCAGTTTGTTTATTTTCTACCCAGTAACTTAGAACATTAAATTTCATCCCAAAAGTTTTGAATCTGTTCTGTGCAGATTTTTCTAATGTTTTCTCTTATTGTAATAAATGTGTCTTTTCTGTCTCATCTGCCTCTTAAACTCCATGCACAAACAAAAAAACACACGTTTTAAGAGTACCTGTACAGGATTATTGCCTTGGCTGCTGGAGGCTGGGCAGCATCACCCTGGCAGAGAGGACGCAGCCGTGGCAAAGGTACGACAACTCTCATATCTCAGCCGGAAGGCGTTTTGTATTTGTGCATTACATGTACGAGATGTTATTATTATAGTCACGTAAAGGATGTCATTACATGTTCACCATCTTACACTCAGTCACAGTGCTGTGGGTGTCATTTGCTTCATGTGTTCCTTTTTTCATTGACCGTTCCACATTGAGCTGTGTGTTACTTAGCAGTTTCTTCATAATCTTAAGACATATTTTACTTGAAACCACTAATATCTTGTACAGTGTGGTAGACTTATTGAAAGACATTGATGTTACTGGTGTCAGATGGTATAAGAGATTGATAAAGCCTCCATAAAGGGCATCGCAGTAAAAGGCTGTTAACCCAGAATGGCCTGTGCGGTCCCTTGTGTAATATAAAGCTGCTCGTTAGTAGTGAACGATACACTAGTAGGTCTCAGAACACCGTGCTACGACCAGTGAGGAAAGAACTCGGAGGGACAGGAAGTGAGAAGAAAATGGAGAAGAAAATGGGGAATAAGAAAGAAAATGTAGGACCTAAGTTATGCAAGGATATAAAGGAAACCTTTTTCAAATGAGATATGGAAATATACAAGCTGTTTGTGATGCTTGGAGGACAAAAACAACAATGCTTTGCAATGACTAAAATAGAAAAGAAACGTTAGATAGCAGCAAGAAAATAAATATAAAAAACAGCAAAAGAAAAAGAGAATGTCCCAAAAAGAAAACATGAAAAGTACTACAATAAATATACAACCCCAAAAATTCAGCAGACTTGAATAAGCAGCATCAAAAATTCAGGAGGAATATTTTTTTTCTTTGAGGATATATTTTGATGTTGTGGCCTTACTAAGTGGTACTTTTAGAAGCAATAAAAAACATGAAGACCATACACTGACATGTTGTAAAGGAAATGCAAGCTGGAAGTTAAACCAAAGAATCACCTCAGACTGTATTTTTACCTTTATAATTAGGGGTGTAACAACACATGTACCCATATCAAACCATTCAATACAGTGCTTTAGGTTCAACACACACTTATATTGAACAATACAGATTTTTTAACTTTATTGTATCACCTTGTCTTCTGAAGATGCTCTGTGTTGAAGGATCAGTGGATCTGTGTTCGACTACTCCACCTAGGCTGCATTGTGGAGCGCAGATCCACTGAGAAACTTGTTGTTTCAGCAACATTTAATTTAAAAACTGTACTTTTGAGATTAAACAAATGTTCATAATTAATTAAAATAAATTACAACTTAAAAATAGCATGGAAATTTCTCTTTTTTAATCAAAAAAAAATCGAACCGTAAGACTAAAGTATTGAACTGAACCAAATTTTCTGTATCGTTGGACCCCTACTTATAATGTGTGCCTAAACCACACGAGTTGTGGGTTAAGCCTGGAATATTTCTTTAGCCATTTGTTAGGAATCTCTAAGCCGTTAATAAATGATGTGCTACTCAAGATAATAGTCTGTACCTATGCAGAAAATCCCCATTTGACAGGCTTTACTGGCAACCAGTTTACCCATGTCTTAAGCTACAGAGAATTGAAGGTAAAGACAGGTGTACAGGAACATCGAAAAAATGTTTGAGTTAGATTTTCATTATGTTCAGAGTAACCAAGTTGGTCAGATAAGTGGGACTGGAGTCCTACTGTAGATGCACCATCCTGGGAAGCTCATGGCGTCAGAGAAAAAAAGAGCAGAGTGCAGTTGAGAAGGAGGGAAGCTGATTACTGTGAAATATAGCCCAGAATGAATGGTTGGCAATATTAAATCAGTGCTGAAAAAGTTACTACTCTCATAAATAGCATTTATGCTAATGGTTAGGTATGATTTACTGGGTCTATTAAAACACAGAGAGATGGAGCATGCTTTTCTTCAGTCTCATGTGCTCCATACTTGCTAAGCGGTTTTTAATATTTCTGTTTGATTTTTTTGTTATTTTTGTTGCTATTTGGATGCCTTGTCCTAATTGATGTTTTATTTTTGTTGTTGTGTTATTAAAAAGTTTACTTTGTCTTATTTAATTTATTAAATTTATGATATAATTTATTTTTATTCAATGTTTAGATTGTTTTTGCTTTTCTGATATTTATATCAGTCATTTAGATCCTCCGTATTCTTCTTAAAGTCTTTTCAGTTGTTTAAATATTTTTCACTTCTCTCTCTCTCTGTATCTGACTTTTTGTAGCGCCTGCATCTGTACCACCTCCAGCAGCAGTGCAGAGTATTAATGGCTTTAGTATTAAGGTGAGCTGGGTGCCACCCACTGGTGAAATCAGAGGACTGATTGACAGATATGAGCTAAAGGCCTACAACAGAGACAACCCTGATGTACCTCCTATCAAAGCCACACACCTGGCTAATGGAAATTTCACAGGTAAAACGGATACATGCATAGTTTTATGTTATAAAGTTGTTTTAAATCTGTGGAATGCCTTCTTATTAAACCTTTCTCATTCCTGAAACTTTTACATGACTGTTATACGTTTACTGCCCTCCTGGACGATATTGCACTAATTTTATTAGACAAAATTTCAAATTGTCTACTTTTGTGTGCATTTGTACAGGCATGAAAAGATATTTGTGATACCTTTTTTACTCTGGTTTTTCTTGTCTCTCTCTCTCTCTCACTCACACACACACACTGTCTCAGCTAAACTTGTTAATGTCTCCTTGGCAAACCTCCAGCTGTAGGAGCCTGTCTCCATTTGGAACAAGACGCTCAGGACTACCCCAATGATGTCATACCCCTGGCATCAATCCTTTATTTCCCTCTCTTTTTCTGTTGCTCACTTTCCTATCTTTCTTCACTTTGTCTTTTATGATGAAGACGATGTCTGCGTCCACTCCTGCTATTCGTCCCCGCTCTCATCCACTCTACCATGTCTCTAGGCAAATATGATGATGAGCTCGCCTGCCTCTGTCTTTCCCAGTGTCTCTTTCGCTACTCCTCATTCCCTCCCCCTCTCTTTGCCAGACATTAAGTCCACTCTGATAAGGCTTCTTCTTAATTTATGATGGCCCCGACACTTGACTGTAGAATTACACCAATGGCTAAAAAACACAGAAAGCAAATGACAGTGTAATGGCGGTGGAGTGGGGCCCTGGCCCCTAATTGAATTAAAAGACACGGGCAACATTGTGAGAGAGTGAGAAAAAAGAGACAAGTACTGAATGATTGGACACCTAAGGTGGAGGGAAACGGCAAGAAGGGGTAGAAGAAAAATCATCCGATGTAAGAGTGACTTTGGAAATACATAAAAGTGTGGAGGAGGCCAAGACAGCTAGGACAAAAAGCATCAAAGAGAGACGACTAAGGCTTTACAATTAGACGAGTCTACCAGTGTTTGCCAAACATAGTAAATTTGCTTAGCAACAGTACACACAGTAACAAGTACAGCATTTAAACTGCTGTGTTGAGCTCTTTAAGCTTAAATCACTTCAAACGTTGACACTGTTGTCTTCTTGAAACAACAGAGTTGAGTTGTAGTGGAACAATCAAGAAGTGATTCAAATGTGGGCATGAAGTTTAAAGTTCAGGGTTTCAACAAAAACTTTCCATTCACTAATTACAGGGGTTAGACAATGAAACTGAAACACCTGTTGTTTTAGTGTGGGAGGGTTCATGGCTAAATTGGACCAGCCTGGTGGCCAATCTTCATTAATTGCACATTACACCAGTAAGAGCAGAGTGAAGGTTCAGTTAGCAGGGTAAGAGCACAGTTTGGCTCAAAATATTACAATACACACAACATTATGGGTGACATACCAGAGTTCAAAAGAGGACAAATTGTTGGTGCACGTCTTGCTGGAGCATCTGTGACCAAGACAGCAAGTCTTTGTGATGTATCAAGAGCCACAGTATCCAGGGTAATGTCAGCATACCACCAAGAAGGACCAACCACATCCAACAGGATTAACTGTGGACCCAAGAGGAAGCTGTCTGAAAGGGATGTTATGGTCTAAAGCCAGGTGTTTCACTTTCATTGTCTAACCCCAGTATCATATTATTCCTCAAGTTTCACAACCAAAAAATAGGAAGTTCTGGAGATTGGTTATCAATAAATTAGCTCATAAATATACAGTAGTCCGACCCATAATCATAGTCTGAAGTTGTCAGGTGGGATAACAGGACAAAAACAAAACCCTTGGTAAAGTTTTTATCCGAGATAAAATTTACAGTTTCTTTCTAAGGTGACATATCTGATATAAAAATGTGCTTGTTGAGTGTCATATTGATGGATGCCAACAAAAGTATTTTGAGCTTCAACTCAGTGATTAGAGGCTTGCTGAGTTATAATTTCCAAAATATGTAACAGGTTTTTATAAGCAGATGTCCTCAGGTCCCTCTAGTTGCAATTCATTTTTTCAACTTCATCTAAGTTTCATTTATCTAAGTAAGATGTTTTTGTCTATTTTTTTTCTTTTGTGTTGTAACCTTTACATGAACATTTTGCATTCATTAAGGCATCTTTTGACTGCTGACTGACAGTGATATGCAAACTGCCACACCTTAAGAGAGGCTGTGAAATAGTTGTTCTTCACCAGGAAGTAATTCTGTTTTCAGCCACTTGAGATGCACACTTGGTTTACCTCCCCCGCCAAGAAAAAACTTTATGTTTACTGTATTTTCTTCTCAAAGTGCTAACAAGGCTGTGTGTTTGTGGTAATTACAGCTAAGTTTGACAGATCCTCCTAAATTATATTTATGTAAAACTGAACATCCTTGTCTGGTCTCTTCCTCTTCTCATCTCTGGCTTCGCCTTGTTCAGATGTGATAACAGGTCTCACTCCAGCCACTCGATACATTGTCACTGTAAGTGCCTGTACTCCTGCTGGCTGCACTGAGAGTCCAATTAATGACATTGGTGATGGTAACAATGTAAGGTCAAGCCTCACAACCCCAGAGGAAGGTAACAAACACACACATACATCTTCATCCCTTATACATACCACTAATGTGTGACTGGTTTTTCAACATTACTAACACACAGATTTTACAAAACTAAGACATTCTCATATAGGGAAATTCTTCTGCTTTTAAAAAGAATGAGAGAGCAGCAGGAAATGAAAGGAGGACACGCCAGAAACAGCAGTACCAGGGAGGGGAGAGTGAGTAGGACGGCTTAATAGAGAAAAGCTGAAAATGGCAATAGAAGGAAGCACATTGAGATTGAATGACAAGCTGATAGCACAGAGAAGCATATTTCTTATCAGGGAAGTCATGAAGGGAGGAGTAAAGGCAAAGGAGCACTCGAACGAGAAAAGGAAATATTTTTCTTCATGTGTTAGTAGCTACATTAATCTGTGTTGGACTAACGGCCTTGTTGGGGAGATAATGTGACGGCAGGGGTCAGTACAGAGACGGCAAAAATCAATCTGAAGTTAAAGGGAAAAAAACAGATTACTGTATTGATTCTCACTGAGCACAGTTAAGACACTGAAACATGTCAGTGAGACTTTACAGAGAATCTATTAAAAACTGTTTTTTTGCCTGAAACGCACAATGTTCAGACTTCTTTTTACTCACCAATCAGTGCAGTGTCTTACAAAAGAGCTCAAGATTTTAACATTTTATTTACAGGTCTGAAGCTTTGGAAAGTAATCTAAAGTCATATCAGTGTCTTAGCATAATGAATATAGGTTCTGTAAAATATTCAAAAAACTTGAGTATGTCTGGCTTGTTTGTGACGGAGATAAATTAGGTAGCTGGGCCATTTCACTTTACATGAAATAAAAGTTACTGTTTGTTTTGTAACTTGCAAGGTTTCTCTTACAAAATAAAAAATATATGAAGGAGTTTTATCCTTATTACAGTGGTGGGAACAGCTAACCAGAATAATAGCTTCATTAACACCTAAACCTCTACACAATTTCCTTAGTTTCACTAAAAATAAATGGCTAAAAAGAAAGTGATTTTCAGTTCCAAATGCAACAGCACTTAGGTTGTCATCTATAAACACACCGTCCTCTACCATTTAGTTCCCATTTCTATCCCACTGCTTCAGACCTCTCAATCATGGTGTGTCAGATTTACAGTCAATGACTAAACTTCCACACATATCAAACCAAACATAAATGTGAGCCATCATATCGAAATGAGGATTAAGTCAAACTTGGTCAAAATGACCTAATTACATTTTCAGATTTTTGGCTTTAAAAGCTACATTTTGATACCTGGATCATTCTGATATCATAATTAAATCCATAAATATGACTTAATTTGTCTTGTTGGTTACAATAATACATAAATATTTGGTC